GCTTTCAACAGGTCTGGTTACACACTCACTCATCTGAACCCACCGACTTGCTGTACAGCTTTGACATTCACACGTTTACACCATGATTCAGCAAATGCAGTTTTATAGCAGATAATAATTTGAGTTATTTTACGTAAGAAAGAACTGTGTCAGAGATTTAGCCCTTTTAATGCATAATGCCTAAATTGCAAGGCGTCAAAATGAATTGGACATTTAGCTTGTCTGTTTAGCAGCTGTGCCTCATTTCAACCTTAGTTCATGCACATAAACGCTCACACGTGGCTCAGAGTTGATCGAGAGCTGAGAGTTTTAAGTGAAGGTGAAGTCATGAAGCGTTAAAAAGTGACCACAAAAAAACAAAACGGAGAAACATCTTGTTAGAGTTGATGCAGTGTGAAAGTGTGAAAAACGCCTTGTTTGTTGAAGTTGTAAAAATAACACCTCGGAACATTTTGTACCTGTTGATTCCGGCACGGAAGACGTTTCTGAGTTCTCATCGCTTCTAACAACGGTTGTGATGTTTCCATCAAAGGTGCAGGACTCTATATTGCAGTATACTGGAGCGAAAATCAAGGGTTAAAGCATATAGTAGTTATTTTACAACAATCAAAGAGTGCTGAAGCAACCTGAACAATGAAAAATTTGTAACGGTCTGAACTGTGCGTCTAAAGATAATCTACTGTTTCTGGGTGTCAGAGGCTCAGATTTGTAGATTAACACCTGCTAACATAAAATAGTTTGTAATTAACAATCTCTGTTTCATTCTTTGATTTTTCCTTCAAAGGAAACACGCTTTAAGTTGCCACAGAATGAAGGGCGCCCTCTTCGATGTTCTGTGCGAGATCAAAGAAAAGACAGGTAAGATTTCTATTTACATTTTCTTTTCACATCAGGCAGTGAAGAAAAAGGTTGCATGCCGATGAGCTTAATTATTTTCCTTTTTTGGTGCATTCACGAGGTTTAACCTAAAGTCTGCATGCTTTATTTTGAAAGGTTCTTTTCTGTTTTAAAGCATTTAGTAGATCAAGCTGAGATGAGGAGGATAAGGGATTTTAAGTTTGGGAGACTTCACTGTTTATACCTTGATGACACATCTGTGACAGAGACTGAGAGAGAGATTGGGGACAAATGGATTGTGTAGAAGTCCAGCTACATCCCCCACCCAGCCTTCATTAGCCAGCTGCTGCTTGTTGTTCATGCATTAATGTCTCTCTTTCTCCCTCTCTTGCTCTTGTGCTCAGTGTGTCGCACTCCTTCGGTTTGTGATGGGATTTTTCTGCCTTGGTGGCTTTTTGGTGATGGGTCTCCTCCGAATGCTCAGATGGTGAAAAGGGTTTGAAGCGCTGCTGCGGGAAGAGCGTCATAACGAGAGACGCTTTTGACTGAGAACGTTCACGGGAGCAGCGGGAATCTTCAGATCTGGGTGATTAACATTAGGAACGTGTGGAGATGAGGCAGTGTTTAGGTAGCTGTAACTGTGTGTCATTTATATAACGTGAACTGAACTGGTTGATAGAAATACCCAAATATTACATCCTGCCTCCATATTTATCCCAATGTATTAATGCACATCTCTGGTTTTGCTGAAATGCATATTTAGCCAGGGGTGAGAGTTCATTCACTTAGTTTAGAGACTGACATTGGAAGAGTTTCTTCACCTATTCTCTGTCATTCAGCTTCACCCAGAAGGTTTGCAAAGAATACATTCAGGAGAAAATCATTTGACAGTCAGAGAAGGTAAAACTGCAAAGATTTAGGCGTGATCTGGCGATTCTTTTCCCTTTCTTTAGCTCTTGTGTTGCATTTGTCCACATGCTCAGCTGTGTGTTCTTCACACTGCAGCAATAATTCAGACACAATCCATGTTTCCCTTTGGTGTCAATGTGTCAGCATGTGTTGTCTGTTCTAAATGGATTTTATACATTTATTCAGGAACATGGATTGTTACCGCCCTCAGTTCCCAAATCTCCTTCTCCCTAGTTGTAAAGATGAATAGAAGAGGAGGTTGGTGTTATTCTATCTCTTTTTAAAATCAACAAATTCCAGAAAAATCTTGAAACCAGCAGTTAAGTCTATCACACGGCATTTATTTCTGAGTTCAGAGTTGTGCAATTTTACAAATGGTTCACAAATGTGTAGTTCTGTTTTTGCAGAAGTTTCAGACTCCCACACACTACATACATCTATTGGTGATGTTTCTACGGAACTAGGGAAATGATCATGCAGGAATTATTATGGTCTCTTTACATTCGACATTTTGTGAGTGTTAAAATGTGACTATAATTGAAAGTTATTCTGACAAGAGAAGGAATCGTTGCTGGATGATCAGTCTGGCATCAAAGTGTAGGTAAAAATGGGATCTGTTTTATATTAAAACTTGTTGTGATGACCCACCTATCCCACATGGTGATATGTCTCCTGAAAGTTTACCCAGAATGCACTTTTTTCAAGGTAATTGTCATAACACAGAATACAGGGTACTAATGTTTTTCTTGTCATTCTATATTCTACACATTAAAGTGGTGGAGCTTTCCAATTAAAACTACAATATATCCTGTGATATTGATGCTCAAAGTTGTTTATAGAAATAAGTTTTCTGCTGAACAAGATTTAGATTTGATTGTGACACCTGGAATAAATATAAACTGATATGGCAGCAGTTTTCAACAAAGCTCACGAATGGTTTTTCATCCTTAACAAATTCAGTTAGTCCATCTCCTATACGTATGAAGGGCTACAAAATGCTGGAAAAAACATATGCAAGTTAAAAAGCACAAACCTTTCACCCCCCCCCCGTGTACTTCAAGGGCCTTTAAGTCTGCAAACATTCATCATATGAAGGTAAAATGTTTGCAGGACTTCATTAAATATACTAAACTTAGTGCACATACAAAATCAGCTGACTGTGAAGGTGCTAGGTGGGTGACACTGGTTCAGATTTAATGAAATGACCCATCAGGCAGCATCTGGAGGAACTATGATCCAGCTGTAGGGGCACAGAGAGAAAGAAACGCGTTTAGTGATTTAACTGCTGTTTGTGATCCACAGATTTAAGATGTTTATAACTTGTGCTTGTGGATTTTATTGTGTCTGCAGTTGTTGATAATCTGGCCTTGAACATACGACTCAAAACGTTCAAGTCAAATTACGTAATACTGGATAACTCAAAATGTTGTGTGCGCTGTTGTGTCTGACTGATTGCCGACATTAAAGGCGATCACAGAGTATAAGTGTTTAAAGGTGTGTGTGTGTGTCTGCGTGCTGTCGTCGCCCTCGTTGCGGATTATAAATGGGGGACGATCAATTGACCTGCCTTTTTATTGCCACCTAATTTGCATAACTGTGCAAATTAACGAGCTTTCATTTTTCACCGAGTCTTTAGTCGCTCCTCGTTTTGCAGCTGCGTGTGCAGGGATGCTTGTGCTGTGTGTGTCTCGTGCGTACCAATGAAAGCTGGCATCGTTACCATAGTAACAGCCGCTGTGGGTTTTTTAATGTAAACCTCCCTCCTGTCAGTGTTTTTTGTTGTCAGTCTTCTTGCTCTTTTTTTTTTTTTTCTTGCTTTCTCACCCCAGTAGCTCCAGTGGACAGAATAACAGACTCTATTTGACTTTACTGCAACCACAGCCGCACAAACAGAGCTGTAACTGAGCTTTTCTTGTGTCATCCAGGGTTTATGTCGGGGCTCTTCCTGGACTGCTAAACCGGTTTTCCCTCAAGTTTAACTGTGCTGTCTGCTTAGACTGTAGCTCTGAAGCAGCGAAGAGCTTTTCTGTTGAAGTGTTGCAGGAAAAACTTGATTCTTTTTGTAAATCTCTGGCTTCTTTCTTGAGTGTCAAGCGGCTAATATTGGACTTTTTTTTAATACTTTGGGTGTGGATGCGCTTTATGGAGGTAAAATGGGACGAGGAAACAAAATGAAAGAACTGGAATCTACTATGGAAACCATGTGTATGTGGGTCTTGTGTTGCTCTCTGCTGGTTTCTAAGAGAACTCTGCTTCATTTACACTGAGCTGTTGTGCAGCACATTCACATATTGCAAATTGATGGTGTGGTATGCAGTGTGAACAAAGGCAGTGACACCAAATACAAAACAAACCTCATTTTTATTCAGCAGCGTCTTGCTTTCTCTGATTCTTTCATGTCTTAAATCACAGATCAAGTTCACAGCGTGACTATATTTGTGCTTCAAATTATGCTCCAGCGCTAATTCAGTGATCAGACGATTAAAAACGCTGAAATGAAAACAGCAGAGAAGCTGCTAATTACGCAGATTCTCAATAAATCCATTTAAACATGACAGTGTGAAACCGGCTGCTGATCTGCAGGAGTTACACTATTTGGAAGCAGCTTTGGAAGGTTAAATGACAGCGGTTGCAATGTCCCATGCGGTGTGTATCCTGTTTTTCTAGATCTACATTGCTGGAGCCAGAATTTCTGAATGAACTGTGTTGCATAAGAAGGATACGTAATGTTTTTCTGCTCCTCATTTCCTCGGCTCTTTTCAGCCAAATGTGTCTCTTTTGGAGTTTATTCTCTTTCCAGTGCTGCTGATTAAATGATGCGCCATATTTTGAGAATAGAAAGCTGTGAATTCTGAATGGTCCAAGCAGTTTTTAGTTTTAAAACCTGTGAAGCTGCCAAACAAAACCCTACAAAGCCAAAAAAAAGAGAGAAAAGTTTTAGGAAGTAAGGAGCATGCAGCAGAAGGTGAGTAAGTGAGCAGGCTCTTCTAGTAAATAAAACTCTATGTATAAATATTCTATCACTATTTTTATTTACTGGTACATCTGGATTTGAAGATGTCTTGAACTTAACCTCATTGTTTTTTTTTTTTAGATCTAATGTGGCCTTGACAGTTTCTGTCCTCCTCCACAGCCTTCAGTATCGAGAGCATCAAAGAAGAAGAAGAAGAAGAAGAAGAAGAAGACGTTCCGGACTCTCCGAACCCTCACATCATTCGACTGGACAACATGCTGTTAGCAGAGGGGGTTGTGGGACCAGAGAGGGGTGGAGCATCTGCACCAGTGGTTGTCATGGCAGCCGGTGCATTACTTGAAGATGGGACCTTAGAACAGGCCCAGTACAGAGGGAAACTCGCTCACATACGACAGATTTACCACGCTGAGCTGGAGAAATATGAACAGGTGATGCTGAAAATCAAAAATACAGCTGATGGCTCATTCCATATGAAATCATCACATTTTTAACAGAATTTCTGCTCAACCGCTTCTGATTTACTTGAAAATTTGACATTCGTGAAATTTTAGCTTGATAAATGAAATACTTTCCAAGATATAAAATGTGTAAAAAATGTCCAGTCAACCCAATTTTGGCACATTTTGTATTTTTTTTTATTGCACATTGAATTATTAAATTATGTTTAGATGACCATAACTCAGGAACTGTTAAAGAAATTCCTGAACATTTCACAGTTTTTTCTCATCGTGCTATATTATATTATATATCGGCAATATTAAATAGACAAGTAGGTCAAATTGTCTCTTGATTATGAGTTGAAATATGAAAAATAATTAATGCCGTCATAAAAAAAACTAAAAAAAAAAAATGTTGCAAGAATCATTTAAAAAATGTCTCACAATATTTGATATATTAATCTAAAATTTTACAGATACAACAAAACGTTTCAAGCAAATCAGTGATGGTCGAGCAGAAGGCCCCTGATGAGTTGAGATGCCTAGTAAAAGAAGAAATCCTCCATTTGAGGTTACTTTATGCAAATCTTTCTTTGTCACTCTTGGTCACGTTTCCTCGTCTCATATAGGCCTGTAAAGAATTCACCAACCATGTGATAAACCTGCTGAAGGAACAGTCCCGTACGCGACCCGTCTCGCCCAAAGAGATCGAGCGAAGGGTAGCGATCATTCACAGGAAGTTCAGCCCCATCCAGATACAGTTAAAGCAGAGCACATGTGAAGCCATCATGATGCTGCGCTCCCAGTTCCTGGATGCCAGGTTGGTTGCCATTACAAAACTGTAAACGATTTGCTCTTCTCCGACTTTTTATTCGCATGTTTGTCCCTTTTCTGTCAGGCGGCAACGAAGGAACTTTGACAAAGACACAGTAGACGTTCTGAATGAATATTTTTACGCCCATCTGGCAAACCCCTATCCTGATGATGACGATAAGGAGGAGCTGGCCAGGAAATGCTGCATGTCTGTTGCTCAGGTCGGGATGTCAAAGACAGGATTCTCACATAAAAAAAACTGATAAAGAACACAGATAGAACTTGGTTTAGTGTAAAGAAGCCAGATGAATTTCTTGACTTCTCTCAGGTGACCAACTGGTTTGTAAACAAGAGGGTTCGGTACAAGAAGAACGTTGCGAAGCACCTGGAGGAAGCCAAACTTTACGCAAGTGTGTCTTCGATCGGGAGCGAAGGAAGCTCCCCAGCAACACCAAACTCAGGTACGATCATTAGATAGGTCATTTTAATCAAAACTGATGGGAGGACATACGATCAAAACAGCTTGTTCACCACCTTCTGACCCCGAGGTCTCCTGCTTGCGCTCATTCGTCCTGCTGAGTCACCCAGTAGACTGAATGAACCAAAAGACCTCATTTAGAAGCCAGTAAATTGGTTGAGCGAAGTGATATGACTTGGAGAATGTATTTCTCTTGTTGGAGAGATAATAACACAGTTAAATCTTTTCCAGCAGGTTCCTCGGACTTACCTCTGGTTTGTTTTTAAGCTTTTTTAAAAAAACACAGGCCTCCCAAAAGAGTGCAAGTTATTTGTAGCTCTGTTTTTTGTTGTTGTCTTGAACAACAACTTGCTGTCCTTGTACTGGACTGCAAAACTTTCTCTGCTGTTCTGATCCAGTGGTTCGCCTTTGCTACAGGCTTTGTGTGGTCAAGAACAGAACTTAAATAAGTATATCAGTGATCTTTCAGAGGTTCCATCAGTTTCTTGTCATTACTAAGAGCTGCTTGGATTCCTTTTTTGTATGAGCCTCATTATAAACCCAGTTTTTTTTTATTCACAAAAGCAGATTATTTTTTAAACATTCTTGTGAAATCTGACTCGATATTTTGGTTCCCACATCCACTGGTGGCCAATAATTTCCACTATAGCGTATTTAAAATGTAGGTAGTAGCAGCAGTTCAGCGGTAGTTTACATGCACAGTAGTTTCTGTTATGTCATAACTGTATTTTAATCACAGTCAGGATATGTTGAAATCTTACGATTTTGTCATTTATCTTTCTGAAGCACCTTTGTTTCTGTAATAAAGGTACAGATGTTTTAGATCATCTTCAAAAGCGATATTGGATTAATTAACAGATTTCTCAGTCCAGAACAGAGTGGGGAACATTTCCGTTTACTTACACCATAATTGATCGTAAACTGCGGTTTAAACACTGTGTTTTCACCCACGAAGGCAGTTTGCTTTGGGTGCAGTTGTTACTTGATGGATATTTTTCTACAAAATATTCACACAGGAAAAGGTTTTGCATTCATTCTGATGATGACTAGGGTTATACAAGTCAGCAGTTAAAGTGGTGATTCTCACTTAGTTGAAAGTCCGGATGCAGAAAAAGTAGTTTCCTTTTTCAGCACAGCTACATGTTTGCTCCTGAGCCATCATACGTTGCCATGTTTCACAACCAGTGTGATGCCAGGCTTCAACTACCAGCAACAGGAATGTGGAAAAATAATTGTGTCCCTCATGGCGCAGACGATACAGGCTGTCTTGTGTTTGAAAAAGCTTGAAAAGAAAAAGCAAAAACAACCGTGGATCTGTCCGTGGGTTGTGCACAGACAACAGTGTGGATTGTGTATCATTTAATGCCATTGTCACAAACATGTTGTCAACCAATGTTAGAGAAGGTCGAGTGTTTTTGTGGGGATGTTAAGCTGAGGCAGTTGTGACACTGAACAGGAGAAAACAATCAATTTTCAAGCCTGATGCTCGCTTTCTTTCACCTCCAAACATCTTTCTAGTAGCACTATTTTCATGCCAGTATTAGATTCACAGCATCTGTTCAGGCTAATAAAAATCAACTAACAATGATGCTCTGTCTGTATGTTGACTGAAGTTAGATTATTTTTCACAAGTGTGTGTGAAGTCAGAGTTTGACATGTTCTCTAACAGGAGGACCTGATGGAGAGTTATGAGGAGCCACCTGGAGGCGCTGTTCTTCCTCCTCGCTGCCTCCATGTGAGTAGCTGCTGTTGCTGTAGCTACACACTCACGTTGTGGTGTCGAGAACATGTTTTAAAAACCACTTTTGATGTAGTTTGTTGACATGCATTACACCAAGACAGTAACTGAAGCCAATCAGCAGCTGGCTGTTGAACATTATTCTAAATATTCACACTAAAATTAAGTTTTCTTCAAAGGGAAGCTCTGCATGTTCTTGTTTTTTTATTGATTGTTGTGCGATGACTTGAATTAAAATGTCATCATCACTGCAAAGCTCTTAAAAATGATATCAAGGGCACGCACCGAGGGGTTTAGTGTCATAATGCGTACAACTATAGCACCTAAACTGACATATTCATCAATAATTTCCAAAGTTTAAGGAGGAAATTCAGGCCAAATCCGAGTTATAAATACAGTTTTTGTTGGATTGGCATTCTCGAGACAGATAAATGGAACAAATGTACAAGTTTAAATGTTTTTAGTATATGTGTTAGTACATTATGATGTAAAGTCAACAAAAAAACTTGTTTTAGTTAGAAGTATGAAGAATTTACTGTTCATTTAGCCCCATTTGTAGCTTAAGCAATCATATCTCAAAGATCGACAGCTCAGTTAAAGTTTTACTATTTTGAATAAAGCAACACTTGATTAATGAATAATGAGGTTCTATTTCTTTTTTTATACCTTGCTGCTACACTCGTATGTTCCCTTACATGGATCACTGTAATGCATGCAAATGAAACAAGTTTAATGAATGGATTTAGGTGTCTGTATAATCAAGCAATCATGTTTATTCAGGAGAAATCAACATGCATCAAGCGGATGAAGGATTTATTTGTGCAAATTACTGGGAATAATCAGATTTTGTAAGCAAGTAGATACTATAAATAAATACGGAACTTTACAAATGTATATAGATTACTGCATAGTTTGCCTTCACAGCTGATATCCTGTCCTTGTCTGAATGTCTTTTTCATTAGGTCGACAACACAGTGTGCATGAACTCAGGCTGTCGGCCGACTTGCAGAGTCACAAATGGACTCTACAGACCTCCCGAAAATGTTTTGTTTTCATTTTGCCTTCTGGTGCCTTTCCACATCTCTCCCAGGAGTTTCTTTTGATCTGTCCACATTTTAACAAATGTGCTGACATCATTCTTACAATATTTTAATGTTTTATGGAAATAAATCGATAATAAAAGGAGAAAGAAAAACATGTCCTTTCTCTGAAGGGTTTGGGCCTGCATGTGGTCTCAGACTGGATGTGGAGGACTTGACCTTGAAACATGCAAAAAAGTACAAAAAAGATGCTTGTTGTACTTTTAGACGTTGAAACTGATATTGTAATATTGTTTTTTTTTTGTTTTTGAGAAAATTACAGTTCAGGGTAAATACCGCAAACGAATAAACACATTTCTGCATATTAAGCCCTCTGTAGTTTTGCTTCAACTTGGATCTGGGTTTGAGGTGGCTTCTATTTATGTGATTTCAGAAAAATGTAAATTCAATTTTTTTTTTTTTTTAACAGGTAATTATGTTTCTTTCTGCTTTTGACCAAACTGAACCAAAGAAAAGCTCAAACACAGCAGATTACATTTAGCGTGTTGTGCATTTCTTAAAATGTTTGATCAGTTACTATTTTTACTTACCAAACATTAACTACTGATATGTGTTTTTAGTCATGTGCGCCCTCTAATGTTCAGCTGTGTCACTGCATCTTATTGAATTTGGAACATTTAGCAACAGTGACGTTTCTGCCAAACTGAATTTGTCAGACTGAAAAACGCAGGCTTTTGTTTACTCTGCTTTTTCTTTGTAGTCACTCCTCCTTTTTCTAGCTAATCTTTATTTAAGGTAGAGTTAGCTGCAGACCTGACTGACACTTTACACTTGCATTTACACATTGTTTTCTTCATTTTATTAATTATTATTATACAACCGTGACTAGATAATCCGACGCTAAATTTAAAACCTTCTTTTATGTTGGATAGCAAGGCTGTCGGATTGTCAAGATGGAGGTCGAGATACAAGGAGGGCTTGATGCTTGAAGGGTCATTTGTTGTTAATTATTGTTCACGGTTGTTATAATAACTAGTAGGGCTGGTCTGAGTAGCACTTTCTGTACTCTGGATATTCAGGCACAATTAATGATGAATATCCAAATACTAGGCGCAGTCAGAGGGGACCACTTCCGCGCATCCCCTGGGTGGAAGTGGCCAGAACACATAGGCAGTACTTGGCTGCTGATGCTAGTTTAGGATAGCGATCACACTTCTGCCTCTTCTGCGCATGCAGGACACTTTTGGGTCGTATGAAGGTCACACAGCAGATCACATACAAGTCGCATTTAATTGGAAATGTGAACGAACTCGCAAAAAAATCAGATTTCGCAAAAAAATCCAAACTGAGCATTAAGTCCTGCAGTCTGAACGTAGCCAATCTTTCGGATTGTTCAGTCAGATAATACGCTGTTGTTCTTATTTGTGACATAAAATGTCATGTCAGAGTCGGAATCCAAGGCTGTTGGTATGTTAAGGCTATTTTTCATGGGTTGCGTTCGTTTTTCCTAAAAAGCTGTCGGTTAGCAAGTTTTTCAGATTAAGGGTCGGATTATCGAGTCACGACTGTATTATTACTATTTTTATAATGTGCACACTGCAAAACACAATAGAGAAAGTCATCACCTGTAGTTTATCTTAAGTCAGGAGTTGTTTTTTCATCACTAACAATCTAAAAACATACCAGGATTTTTTTTTAGATTATATATATCTTAAGTTTGAATGTATTTTTTGAGATGAATTCAAGCTTTAGAGTCTGGTTTTGTATATTTAGGCAACTTGGGATCTTGTCTGCCAACAGAATTGTGTGTTTATTACTACTGACAACAAACCCAAGGTCCCTATTTGCCTAAATGTTAAAAAAAAAGAAGAAAAAAGTATCTCCTTTTTTTTTTATGAGCATCTACAATATTGTCTAATCTTTTAGATTTTTGTTTTGTTTAGGAATAAAAAAGGTTCTATCATAATTCGACTACTACTATTAATATCAATATCAATAACCACAACATAAACAATAATAGCAACAAAAAACACCATTAATAATAATAATAATAATAATAATAATATTAATAATAATAATCAGTTCCCCAGTCCTCACAAAATGATTCTTTCATGAACCTTCTTGAACCAGTTTGAACTCAAAAGTTCCCTTTACAATGGCTTTAAAAGGTTCCTCATTTTCTAGGCTCTTCTACTTCTCAGAGTTTGTCTCTTTGTACGTGAACAACTGAGTTATCATCAGAGTATAAATGATTTTACACAAGTCTGGATTTGCAGGTTCTTTGAAGCTGGTTTTTAAATACATCTGGATCTGTTCAAGTCCTTAAGTCCAAACCTGCAAAAGTGCACTCCATCATGACCAAGATGTTTTTTTAGGATTGTTTTTTTTGCTTTTTCACTATTATTAGATATATATATACAGCGGACAGAGACAGAAGATGTGGGAAATACATGCAGTGGGAGATCAGGCTGACTGGGAATGGGACGAGGGATTCACTGCTTTTGCACCCAAATCACTTCGCTTCACATTAATTAATCAGATACAATACAAATACATCTTTGTAACTGAATACAGTTTATATAGTTGGGATTTTAGATGAGAGCATGCAAATCAGTTTAAATTCCTTCTTCTGTGTTGGTGTAAAACTAAATCCTATCAAGTGAATGACTACAGAACAAACTTTTTAAACATTGTTAATGCAATTAAAGCTGAGCGATTTCAGTAAAGTTCCATTACTTTGATTATTGTTTTGCATGTCTATTGGTTTGAACTCGCTCAATCTCACACCCAACATTGCTCAGAGTTGTTGTAATTCTTTAACAATGACACAAGAATGGAAGCTGGAAGGATTTTGACTTATAAGAGACTTATGGCTGTAAAACTGTTGCGTCAGTGCACGCTGGGAAGGTTCCCAACGCATCTGTCTCATGTAAACGTAATGGCGTCATCAGAACTTGGGCAATCATCATGAATGTGATCATGATTTTCATGCTCTAATCATTTTTCTGTTATCCAAGATGACTTCATCGGGGAGTAAAAAATCGTCTCCCAAGCTGTGCTCAAAGAACCAAATTAAATACATGAGAAAAAAACTAGATTATTCTACGATAGCATGAGAGCAGCAATTGCTTAACCTCCATTTGAAGAACAGGGCTCATGATTCTAATCTAACTGTGGATATGAATCAGATATAAATGCCATTTGTCTGCTGGAAGAGCTGCTAGAGTGGATCACTGCAGAACATCTGATAACGTAGTGAGTGCAACACAGCGTACCAGCTTATCAGCCCAATAAAATGCCATGCTAAATCAGTGGAGTGCTCTTTTAATGCTGCAAAACTGCAAACAAATCAACAATAACAGCTTTGTTACTGCTGCTGATTTAATTAGTTAAAGCGACCTTAGTCTGGTGTCATCATTAACTGAATAGATTTTGCTAATCTGCAAACGTTGCAGTTATCAGTTTTTAAAAATCCATTTAAATGTCCTGTCATGAAGATTTCACTGCTTATAAATGAAGCTGGAGTTTTTCTGCAATGAGAAACAATAATAATCATGCTCTTGTGAGATTTAACAAAAAATGTTATATAGTATTTTTTTAATGTTTGTTTTTTATGTATTTTTCTTCAGCTTGATAGTAGATGGCTCCCTTCATACCAAAAACATGGCAAAACAAGGACAATTGTGCCCTCAGAGCTCTGTTTCATCAACCACTATCGCTGCAAGTCACCGATCAATACAGACTCATGGGGTGTTTGTCTGGAGGGTGATCGTTTTCTTGGAAAGCAGAACAATACACTGAGGGGTAAAGTGATAAAATCACAGCCCTCCAGTCATTCGACGTGCTTACAAATTATTGCAAAGTCACAAAATGGAGCTTTTGTGCTGTTTACTAGGATACGTCCTGCGAGCTCTGTGCATTTGACAACAGTAGCATGAGATATTTATCAGCACGACAACTGAAAAGTCAGCAGATATCATCTAGACCCACCAGGATCAGACAATTATTAGCTCAAAAAAGAGTGCAGCAATATCTAGTCGTCAATGTGCAACATGCAGGCAATATTTGAATAGGGGAAGGGGTTGGTGAAGGGTTAAAGGTTGAAAGTGATAAGAGACAGACAGAGAGTTTGTACGCAGCAGAGAAAGTGGGACTATTCTGTGCTCATCATGGATTTATCACCCGCAGCTCTGATCCTGTGTTCTCTCTTATGTACAGGTAAAGAATCTGATTGAATTTAAAGAGTAATATTTAGCACTGATTTAGGATGTGTTTATGCCCCGCAGACAGCTTCTCTGTTTAGACGGAGCCATTTTTGTACATCGAAGGATCTGGTAAAGCTAAATTGTACTCACCGCATTGAAAAATAATATTTAAATTATGTTAAAAATGGACACAGTCGTGATTACTCTTCACAGATGATGCCATGAAAAGTGGAAGAAATTGTCTGTATAAAAGCTATGGACAATTACATTGTTGCTTTAAAGAGATGTTGTTGACTTGTTTTAAAAAATTGTTTTAATTTATGAGCAACACAAATTTTTGTTGGCGTTTCTATTATATTGCTACAAACACATAAATCGGGGAAACGCAGCCTCAAAATCAGTATAAAATAACCCAAACATTTTATTTCTTTTTCTTTTTTTTATTTTATGTGAACCAATGTCATATTATTAATGTCATGAAATAAAATAGTTCTGTCTTTCTTTGCGAGAAATCGTCCTTTTTTTTTTTTTTGCTAAATTTTCTTTTTTCCTTCGTCATCGAGCAGCACTTCTGTTCAATCTGTGTATTTGCTCGGGTTGTTTGCTTTGGGGTGGTGCTTGTTTACACTGTATTTTACCCAGACATGTCTAAAGGTTCGTCGAGTCGATTTGTTCTTGCACATGTTTGTAAAACTTCTTTTTTTTTTAACCTTGTTAATGTGTCTGTATAATGTTTTTTTTTTATATGCTGGAAGTCATACAGTACCTATAAGTAGTATTCTCCCTCCTTGGAAGGGTTCTGCTTTTACCTGGAGTCATGGAAGATTTTACAAAAAAACAAATTACTCTGACATGTCAAAGTGAAAACAAAGTTCTACATAGTGATGTAAAATTTAAAAAAATGTGAAATAGGTGATTGCATAAGTATTCACTGCCTTTGAAGTTGCTCACCTAATTCAACACAAGTCTCGCCAATCAGGGCTGGAAGTCACACACTTATTGAAATGGATCATGTGAATGTGACAAAAAAAAAAAAAAATGGTTGTAGTATAAAGACACCTACATCTGGAAGTTCCAGTCACTGGTGAATCTGTTTTTTTTAAATTTTTAACATTTAAAAAAAAAAAATCGGAATCTATTTTTGGTAAATTCTTTTCAATAAAGCCAAGTTAGATTGAAGTTTATTTAGTATTGTTCACTGTCAAAGCAATAACAGGAGAAGACTTCCAAGAGATGTGAACACTTTTTAGACTTTCTGTATCATTGTTCTTCAGAATCAGTTTCCAGCTCAAATATATTTGTCTGAATAACTGCAAGAACTACAACTTGCCTTTTTTGTAGTGTCGAGTAGTTTTACAGTGTGAAAGCTGGTGTGCTCGAGCTGCAGCAAGTTAGGAAGGATTGGATGAAGAGAGGCAGGACTTCCTAGATCTGCAGTTTCAAAGGGAAGCAAGAGTGTAGAGTTACATTTAAACCCTCCTAGATGTGTAACTTTGAAACACAGAGGAAGTTTTAGAGTTTAATCAGCACTAAGCGCTCTGTCTTTCTGTGCAGTGGCTGGTCAGGCTCCAGTTGTCTCAGTGGAGCCTCGGGTTGCTACTGTTCGCCAAGGAGAGTCTGTCAGCTTCAGGTGCCAAGTGGGGAGCGGCGCTCAGCCAGTTCGGCTGGAGTGGAGGAGAGCCAATAACCAAGCGTTACCAGGTCAGGAGCAACGACATGTAAGCACAAGCACTGTTCATACAACATCACCGTCTGTGATGGTTTCGCTGAATTCTCCCATTTCCCTTCCAGAGAATGCAAAGATCGGTCCTGATGGGTCTTTGCTGACGATTGCAAATGCCCGACCTGGAAATCAGGGCCAATACCGCTGTGTTGGAGTCAACTCCGCCGGCCGCGGCACTGCCAGTGCTGTGCTGAACGTCAAATGTGAGCTTCACAGTACAGTTTTCCCCCTCACTGGGTGTGTGTACCATGGCAAAGCTAGAAAGTGGGTTTATTTTTATTAAACACAAAAAAACACTCTCACTTTAAACCCCACATTTTACCCACTATGTGTGTTTCTACGTGCATCGGGTGTTACTTTAGAGCAGCTGGTTCATGTTCATGTTCTTTTTATCCGCAACGCTTAGTGTGATAATGTGGAAACAAGGTGACAAAGGAGACGACGTTGCTCGTAAATCTGCTGAATGTTATGATGTGAATCTGCAACTCAGATTTTATAGTGAGCTTCAGTTCATTGTTTAGCTGTCCAGCCTACAGCGTTTCTGTTTTGTCTCACTGTCATTGCACGGTGTCATTTTTTTGGCCACAGCGTGCAGCCAGCGTTCAGAGAGAAAATCCATTGTTTATGACATACTTGGCACCAAAAAGCGGACGAACCCAATTAGCAACAGGCTGGTGAACATAGTGGAGAAATAAGCAGCCAGATATTTACTTTAGGAGCTGGTGGAGACCAAAAACTGAGCTAAAATGGGCGAATATTGGATGTGAGGAGCATTTTCAAGGCACTGTGCTCCAAATTAACTGCTGGATGTGTAAATAAGCATCTGTTTCTGTTTGTTTGTCCTCTTTCCATCAGTTGCTCCCAAAGTTCAGGTGACACCAGCCGGGCCTCTGCGGGTGAGGATAGGTGAAGCCGTGTCAGTGGACTGTCAGGCCACCGGCAGGCCACGCCCCACGCTGTCCTGGAAACGCCAAGGCTCCACCCTGCAGCTGGTTACCACGGAGACAAATGATGTCAACACCATAAAGGTGAGAGATGAACTCATGCGCAAGTTGTTCCTTTTATTTCTTTCCACGTTCAGGATGATTAATAGCACATACTAATCTGTTTCCTCAGTGGCCTGCAGTGCGTCCAGAAGATTCAGGAGTTTATATTTGCCAAGCTGTGAACAGTGAGGGAATTACAGAGGTCAAAGTTGACATCGTTGTGGAGGGGGGGCTTGGAGCACCAGTGGCTACAGTGAGCGCTACAGAAATGACAGTGGTGGAGGGACATACAGTCGTAATGGAGTGTCAGGCCAGCGGTAAGACGCCTAAATGCTTGTGCTATAGATCAACTCTGCTGTCATTTGTCAGGTTTAACTCTCTTTCTGTTCCTCCTTCCAGGTTCTCCCACCCCCGTCATCACCTGGTCCAAACTTCGAGCGCCGTTGCCATGGAAACATACGGTGTCCGGTGGAGTTTTGACACTGACCAGCGTCGGGCGCCAAGACTCAGGACAATACATCTGCAATGCAACCAACATACACGGCTACAGTGAGGCGTACACGCAGATGGAGGTGGACAGTGAGTGGAAGAGCACACACACACACACACACACACACTGCACATCCAGATGCTTCACCGCTGCTCGTGTTGACAGCCTCCCTCCTTCACGCAGCTCCTCCGTACGCCACCTGCCTGCCCGACCAGGTGAGGCTCCAGCCGGGGGATGCCCTCCGCCTGCAGTGCCTCGCCCACGGCTCTCACCCCATCCAGTTCACGTGGACTCGGCTGGGCAGGGCGGGTCTGCCTGCAGGAACCCAGACCACTAAGGATGGAACGCTGCTCATAGCCCACGTTAGGCAGAGCGACGGCGGGACGTACAAATGTGTGGCCTCCAACCGCATTGGTTCAAGTGAGGCAGTGGCCAAAGTCATGATTAAAGGTGAGCTGATGCTTAGGCTTGGGGATTTTAGGTCCATTAAGTGTTTCTAATCTTGACTTTTTCTCTTCTTTCTTTCGTTTTTACAGCTTAAAGTGATTCCATCAAACTGTGTCTCACTGACTCTGACTGCCTGGATTGTCCTGGATTCCATCAACATAGTTTGAAGCTTAATACTGAAAAAAACAACTAGAGAAAATTATATTTAAAAGATTCATATGTTTTGATGTATGAAAGTGAGAAATATCATGCTGATGCGGTTAAACTTTTGGTGTTATTTTGGGTTAATTTTGTACTTTTATAGAAAATGAATAGCCTATTCTGGCTATTGTTGTGCTGCAGGGTGGTGCAGTTGGTAGCACTGTTGCCTCGCAGCAAGAAGGTCGCCGGTTCGCGTCCCAGTGGGGGCACCGGAATCTTTCTGCGTGGAGTTTGCATGTTCTCCTCGTGCAGCGTGGGTTCTCTTCGGGTTCTCCGGCTTCCTCCCACACAGTCTAGAAACATGTTGAGGTTAATTGGTGATTCTAAATTGTCCGTAGGTGTGAATGTGAGTGTGCTTGGTTGTCTGTCTCTAAGTGTGGCCCTGTGATAAACTGGCGACTTGTCCAGGGTGTCCCCTGCCTTCACCCTAAGTCAGCTGGGATAGGCTCCAGCCCCCCCGCGACCCTAGTGAGGATTAAGCGGTGTATAGATAATGGATGGATGGATGGGCTATTGTTGTCGCTATGGAAAGCTTTTACTGGAACTCCTCAGCAGTATGTGTGGGAGTTATTTCTTTTGGTTGGAATGCCTCTGCAGCCGGCCTTCCTCCCTTCATCTAATCTGTCAAGGTTAAAAGGAGGGTGCAAAAAAAAAAAAAAAAAAAACTAAAACCCGCCATTAAATATCAAAACAATAAAGACCAAATAAAAAGTAGTTTGATGTGTAATGAAAAATGTTGTTGTCATCAAAATATGTTTTTCTTTTTAAAGGGCATTCAAATTAGAGACTTTGCAAGTGATAAACAAGAGAATTGCAGTTTATTTTAACCTTGAATATGTGCTATTATTGTTCTATTGTGGCTCCACAGATTGTTCTAACTTTGCACTCTGCACCTTCATTGTAAAGATGAGCTTAACAAAGTTGATACAGGTTGAAAAAAAAAATAAAATCAAGGTTTGTAACATGAGCTTCTTTAAGCTGTGATCAGAAATCAGCGTCCTGCAGCAGCTCTGCTTTCTAACTGTGTTATCTGTATCTCGACAACAGACGATGAAGAGTGCAAAGTTAGCACGATCCACAATAATGAGAAAACTACCACATTGAAATAAACCAGAACTCTTCTTTAAAATGGAAAAAACAAAACATGTAAAAATGCTGCCTGTGATTCATGAAGGTGAGCTTTACAGAGTCCAGCAGTACTGTGAACATTTAGGCTTTTCTTGTACAATCATAATCAAGAAGCAGCAAAACTTATTAGGATCTTCTTTTTTTTTTGGTGAAAATTTATGGTGTAGAGACAAGAGTGGCTCCAAAGGGCAAAGGGAAGACGAAAAGAGGGAAAGGAAAATGTGCTACAATTTGGAAAATCACATATACTGTACAAGTGGAGCACAAACATTAGGGGGAACTCCAAATCCAGAAATTAAAAAGAAAATGCTGCTTTATTAAGACTTTTCAGCGAGTAAAGGAAGCATTTAGATTTGAAACATGTTGTCAGTTCATCCAAATAATGGCGATTTTCTGACGTTTTGCAGATTTGATGACGCTCATTTTGCAGCTAACAACCTTACTGCCAAGATGACAACAGAAATTCATAGTTTTTATCATTTTATATACATATACTATGAATTGGGTTACATTTTTTATTTTATTTTTTTTAAAAAGATCTGCTCATAATCCTCTAAGTTCAGATTGTGTACAGTACAGTTGTCGATGTGTAATCACCAGAGCAACTGTGGATATTTCTCTAGTCCTCTAGAGTTTGGACTTAATCAAGTTTCACTCATACTGTGGCCACAAAGTCAGATTGAGTTGAATTAAGCCCTGACATAGTGGCAGTTTTTTCCCCCTCTCTCTGTCTGTTTTCATAACATTTCTGGATTGCGAGCACATTTTCCCTAATATTCACCTCAGCGTACATTTTGGTATTTCTAGTGGAGGCCATAAAGGAAAATGTTAATGAGGCAGCCACATTGTTTTAGTTTTTTTATTTTTAGAAGAAAAAAAAATCCCCGATGTATGAAGTAAACTCCTTTGGTATAGTTCTGTAATTAGTAAAACATGTGTCTGTTTGTCATGTGGCTGTCTTATGACTGATGCTAAATCTGAGCTCTGTCACTCCACAGTCGCTTCTTTAACCACATGGTGGCAATATGTAGCCTTAAGGCAGACATCCGCTGCCCTCAGGCACAATCTGAGCCCCCTAACAAATGGTGGGACAGATGCAGCCCACAGTCAAGGCGTTGTTTTCCAGATGACTACATGTCATCCTGAAGTTTATAAAAGACAGAAACCTTTTGGCTGAAGCGCCGCAGCCCTGCATTTAAACACTATTAAACGTCGATGCGGTGATGGTTAAAGCAGCTCTGCCTAAATGAGGAGTTAGATCGACATGTAGAGATTGCAGCTGAGCGTTCAACAGTGAGCTGCCATTTCCAAAGCCGCTGCCAGATCTGATCGCGGCCTCCCTCGTAAAACACCCAACCTCCATGGAGGAACAGGCTTTACACTGTTCCTCTCTCCATCTTTACAAGCATCTTCAAAGCTGGGGGAGGAAACATCTGCCCTCTGTCACCTCACTCCACCCCCTCACTTCACAGACAAAGTAAAAGCACTGCAGAGGATAGCAGTGGAGGGAAATCTGCATACGTTTTTAATTTAGAAAAGATAAAGAGCCATTTCAGTGGAAAAGAGAGGATTAATGTATCAGTGCCAAGAGGAAACTATAACTCATTAAATCTAAACCCCCTCTCTCTCTGTGTATCCTTTTGTATACATATTAACTAGACATGGTCATATACTATCTAATGGAGCCTGATATAAACAGAGAGACTCATAGGACTCTGGATGACGTCCCAGAAAAGGGATGTGCGCACACACACTCGCACAGACAGTTTGTCGCGGTCTCAGAAGCATTGCATTAGTTTAGATTACAGGAGGAGCAGATATTACAGCGGGGACCACACATTGCTTATGTTAGACTGAAGAGGTGAGGACAGAAGAGCAAACTGAGATGATATCAGAACATACTTGAAAACATTCATTTTCCTCCACACCTGACATTCCAGTAATCATTTCGAGCAGTTATTGGTTTTGGATGCAGAGCAATGTGATGTCCCAGCAGTAATAACATGGGAAAAGCGGATCATTCAGGAAGGAGCCAATGAGGTGAGAGCTTCCCCAGGAAGTGATCTGTGGAAAAGGGTTGGGGGGGGTGACGCCTGTCAAGTCTGTTGCTACGGTTTCCACCTGGCGACCCGGATAAGCCGCTGCTGCATTTTGTAGAAACAACATTCTCCTCAGGACGAAGGAAAGCAGCCTGATGGGGTGATAATGAGTGGAGTTCCTGTATTGTGTTGGCTGCAGACTTCAGATGAATACCAGAGTGCAGAATACCACAGCCTGTCCGATCTCAATGTGTCAAAACGAAAAATCAAAAAAACGTTCCTGTTCCCGCTTGTGCAACAGGAAGCCACAACAATATACACTGTATGCTTATCTTAATCGATCATTTCTCACAAATGAACTCCCAGACGGAGGAAGAGTCAGTAATCCCTGCTGAGGGAAATGGCTGCCCTGGGCTGAACGGGTCAGAAAGGAAGGAAGCCGACCATTGGCTGCATAATATGACAAAACATCATGACTGTTTCTGGACTGCGTGAAGTATATATGCAGCTCAGGATTGACATATGACACAGCAATCACACAACCAGTCATGATGCTAATATTAGGTGGTGATTAAAACAACCCAGTGTGTCCCGAGACGATTCAAGTTAAAAGAAATGTAAAAAGTACACATTTCTGATACAAAGAGTAATCCTAATTTTTCTTCATTTTGTGAAATACTCAATACACTATACATTTTGTTTTATTTTTAACAGTTTGTAATTTTAATTTCTTGCAAGATTTACAGATTTTCCCTGTTTTGTTTAATTACAGATAATAACTAGCAAATAGAAATATTTTAATTTACTAGTTAACCATTAAAAAAAAACAAAAAACAAACTGTCAACAATGTCCACATGAAAAAAACATTTTTTATTTTTATTTATTTTTATTTTATTTTTTACAAATGGTAGTTTGTTATTTATGTTTGACCATAAAATTTACACTATATATAATAATTTACACTATATTTACACTATTTACATGATGAGCAAAAAATATTATTGTTTTACAGATATTGTTTTGATTGAACCGATTTTTCCTGGCTTGGCTAAATGACAGCTAAAATCTAGTAAAATCACCCAAAAATATTAATTTAATATTTATTTATATGCTGACTATCAAAAAACTCATATCAAAAATCATAATTTCTACAAATAGCAATGTATTATTTTACTGTGTGTGCACTACTTTATTGTATTTAAATCTCTCTCTTTTTTTTTTAATCATTATTTTACAGGTTTCTGCTGCAATCAGACGATCAGTGATTCTGCCACTACTCCCCTCAGAAAGGGATCCTCAGCCGGGGGATCGAGACCCTTCAGATGGTCCTGAGATAAATTAAGGTAAAGGAAATATAAATATACACATTTCTCATACATACATTCATTTTACACTGTAAAAACATAACGTTTTTTTTTTGTTTTTTTTAACAGTTTGTAAGATTTTACCTGTTTTGTGAAATTACAGATAATAATAATTAGTAGAATCTGAAAAAATAAGAAAACTTACTAGTCAATCCATACCAAACAGGTCAAATCTGTCAATAATCTGTATTTTTACAAATGGTAAATGGCTCTTTTTACTATTTCTACTGTATTTAAATCAGCAAAAATGTCATTATTTTACAGATAGTTGCTGTTGCTTGAAGGGAAAAGTCTGTGTGTTAAAAACTGAAAAACTGTTTAAAAAAAATATAACTTAAAAAAGTAACAGCTAATATATATATCACAGATAATAATG